CATGTGGTGCATGTCCAGTCTGTGAAAATTAGCTCAACTTAAGGAGGTGGTCAGTTGTAACGTTCTACTGTGGTTACAAACAATCTATGGCATATTTTAATTCCTAAGAAATATGGTTTCTTTTTTCTTTTTCACTATGTTGCCCAGTAGAGTGCTATGGTGTCACAGCTCACAGCAACCTACAACTCTTGGGCTTAAGCGATTCTCTTGTCGCAGCCTCCCAAGTAGCTGGGACTACAGGCACCTGCCACAATGCCTGGCTATTTTTTGTTGCAGTTGTCATTGTTGTTTAGCTGGCCTGGGTCAGGTTCGAACCCACCACCCTCAGTGTATGTGGCTGGTGCTGTAACCATTGTGCTACAGGCACTGAGCCAGAAGTATAGTTTCTTTTTAAAGGCAGATTAATTAAGTCTGTGCTTTCTGCCTTACCCCTAACTAACTTTAACATCTCTGACTAAAGTGAGGTTCTTAACCTGAGGTCCACAGAACCTGATTATTATTCATGAACGGGATTTGCGGGTAGGGTGAGCCCATGGATCTACCACCTTAAATTGTGTACTGTAGCATACACATATGTGTACACATGAAATTTTCTTTCTGGGGAGAAGGCCTCTAGATATGACTGGTTTTGAAAAGTTCTATGTCTCCCAAAGGTGAGGAACCACTGGGCCAGAACACACAAGGCTGGAGGTCCTGGTAGAGAGCATGGGTGGGGCAGGGGAGAGACAAGGACCTCCCAGCTCTCAGGTGGGCTTCTGGGCCCCTACTGGACACCCTCCCTCCAGTCTAGGGCTCCATGAAAGCGCTTCACAGAGATAATGCTGATGGAGACAGACACCTCACATAGCAAGATCAAGGCTCAGATCAGAACCCCAATCAGGCAGATGGCTCTGTCAAATAGCATAATGCAGAAAAGACGGAATGATGACAGCATCGAGGCACCTCTCTTTAGGAAGAGTGATGTGTCCATCTCAACAGTCTATAGTTCAGGTTACAACATCCAAGACCACGTTAAAGGGCATTTTCAGATGTGCCTGCATTTCAGAAAGTCTGCTTTTTTGTTGTATTATGAGACACGCTGTAACACAGAAGGAAGGGGCTGGAACGTAGATTCATTTTATTAAAGATGAACTATGTGGTTTTCAGGGTTTTCAGCGCAGTACCAGGGAAAGGGAGCATCAGGTGATGTTTCTTGGGGGTTCTGCAGAATGCACATGGCTCTGAGAGGGCTCATGGCAGGAGAGCTACATCTGTAATGTTGGGCTTGTAGTGTTTTCTTTGACAAGTGTCTTGCATTGGCTTTCCCTGAGATATCCACAGCAGCATTGTAAAAATAAAACCAGACAATAAGAAGGACACCTCTCCAGAGTCCCCCGGCTGTCCAGCATGAGGCCAGTACCTGCTCTCTCCACTCCTGAGGGAGCAGTTCCCACCAGCCCGTGTGATGCCCATACAGACTCTATGGTTTGTATCTTCACTGTAAAATACAAGAGTTCTGGGCAATCCTACCCACCTGCACACTCTTCTACCCTTCACCCTTCATGGAGAGCCCTGCTTTTGAAATCCCAACTCTGCCCTGGCTCTAAGTACTGACACATGGCAGCAGGCATGACTTCCTTTCCTTTGATCCCCATGGTTTGCTAAATCACAAATATTGAATGTCATAATTGTATCACTGTCTGGTCAGTCAGATGTGATAGAGTTCATACTGGGTCATCAACATATTAGCTGCCAGACAGAAAACAATTAAATGAGGGAGACAGGAAGAACACACGATGCAACAGCCCTGACAGAATGGGATCTGTGCAGTTTGCAGCAATGTTAGCAGGGTCATCAAAGGTCAAAGTCAGTTACAAATCAGTCAAGTTGGGGGGAAGGGGAAAAACCTAATACACAAATTCTTATGTCCTCTGTATTGAAGAGACTTGGAGGAAATCTGTGTATTAACTCTTTAAAATATAGCTGGTTGTCAGCAAATTGGACCATTCATGTGGTTTCATAGGTTCCTGCTGTGAATAGCTTCTGAAGAATTATATCTGTGCAAAACAGGGCAAAAACAGCACAGGAGAGATTTTAAAATTGCATCTGCTTGTTAGTTTTCATCCATTTCACTGGCTTCTTAGGAAAGGTGTTGATGTTTTCGTTTTTGAGGAAGGCGATCCATGAGCGTATTCTACGTGTTCACACCGAGGCTGCAGATGACCTGTGCTCTTGGTTACAGGCAACCTGAGTTACATTATGCTCATGGCAGGTACTAGAAAGGAGATTCTCGCTTTCTCATCTGAACATCATGGTCTGAATGTATTACCCTTAATGTGATATGTCCAGTCTTGAGTGAATGTTATATTTAAAGTATGCATTCACTGGCCCCCTCCCTGGCAGCACCTCCACTATAAGCACTGAGGGTTTGAGAAGTCTGGTCTGCTGCCCAGCCCGCACTGGGGAGAGGCTGCCAGGGCATCAGCCTCTCTGTTAAGAGCAGATCAGTCGTCTACTATTGCACCTGCCACTTCTCAGCCTCCTACAAAGACATTTGCTCACTAGCACTTGATCAGTTGCGTGCTGTCCCCAGAAATATCAAACATCATGACGCTGATCTGTAAGAGCAGCTTCCTTAGTGTCATTCTCCTCTAAAGAATGACCTCCCTCAGGGGAGCAGAGGGGACAGAGTGGGCAGAGGGCGGCAGGGCGTGGGGCTCCAACTAGACTTTGTGGGCCTCAATCTCTACGTTAGCTGCTGTTTCGTCATGTTACCCTGGAGGTCCCCAACTGTGAAACTCCAAATCTGATTTAGCTTTCTGTTCTTGCTATCTATGAAAATGCAGGCTGCTAATCAAGTTAATGGACAGAGGAGCAGCTTATCAAATTCCCACATGAATCTATGAAATCTGCTTATTTCAAATTTCGTCAGATTTATTAAATCAGAAGTTATGGCACTTACTTTAGAACATTCTGAGTGTCATCCGAGTAAATTTCAAGAAGTAACACTGAGTTCCCTGAAGGGGTTCATTAATTCAGTTTGGGAGCTGCATGGCCTAGTGAAGACACCCCGGTCCTGGAGGGCCCGGGCAGGTGTCCTTGTTCTGTCCCAGATGCAGGAGCCTGAGCTGGGCATTTGCTTTCTGAAGACCCTGGCAACTCACGTGCAGGGGCCTGCTGGGTGCTGGGCACCCTGCAGATGACGTCATGTCTGACCAGCAGAACAAGTTTGGAAGGAGCCATTACTGACTTCAGTCCCAGAGAAGGAGAGAGAAATTTCTCCTCCCAGAGAAGGAGAGAGGTCCAGCTGGCCTCTAGACCTGGGTGCAGAGTACCCTGGTGGTGACATGTGGTTGTGGACTCTGCACAAGGTGCCTGAAGGTTCTTCATGGACTTGGGGGCATTGGGCAAGATCGGGATTCACAGTGGCTCAGCTGTAGCCACTCCCAGAGCTTTTTCACCCCAAAGTGTCACTGTGCAATGATACCACAGGGACTAGTCTAGTGCAGTTACTTGTATTAACATTAAAACTTACAAAGCAGTTCCTCGATTGCAGTAACTACATATCAGTACTCAGGAGCCACAAGTGGCCGTGGCCACCGTGCAGGATGCTGCAGACAGAGAACGCTCCCTCCGCTGCAGGAAGCTCTACTGGACAGTGCTGCTCCAAGGGCTGAAATTCTGCTCCCTGCCTGCACCTGTCTCTCCCACTATGCTTTACTTATTACCTGAACTTGGCCTCTATCTGTGAGCTCCTTCCTTCTCCCCATGATCCACTGGACACCTCTGGTCTCTATCCCTCCAAGCTCTGACTTGTCAGCCATCGTTTTCTTGGCATCCTTTGTTCCCTTGCTCCCCAACACACCACCCCTTGCCATACCTCACCTGGTGTCCAGTCATGAGTGAATATTAGATTAAAAACGTGCATTTATTCACAGGCACCCTGCTCCTATTTCAGAGACATAACACTTCACTGGGAAGAATGATAAAATACTACAATGGACAGAACGTACGCTCTATTTACTGGGCCTTCTCTGCTTCTCACACTTCTTCAGTTTATCTGGGTCAGCTCACTAACTCATCACTTACATCCCCTACACCCTCAGCCCTCTGGTGACCCTACTCTCCGCGGATGACCCGCCTCACAGTGGGGGGTAAGAGCGCCACAGCAGTGAGCTTCCTCACCTCTCCTCTCACTCTCTTGGTTTCCTTTAGCCAGGCGACCCACTGGGTGTTTTCTGCTGAGGAGTAAGTTCCTGCTTCTGGATCTTTGCCCATCATGCCTTCCTCAAGCTGTTTTTGGATCATCCCCTGGTCCCTATTTCCCTAACATGTTGTCTGTACTTCTCCCAGACGTCACCTGCTACTGCACCTGCTGGAGCACACACAGGTCACCTTGTGTCTTCCCCAGGACACAGGTCACCTTGTGTCTTCCCCTGGACACTGTGGGAAGGAGGTGGTGCTGGCTTCACATGGCTTCCAGCAGCGACCAGCACAGCCCTTTGTCTAGAACAGTTTTCAACCATTTTTATCTTATAGCACACTTGAACCTATAGTTAAACCTCTGTGGGACACTTAAATTATGTTGATCCAAAAAAAAAAAAAAAGCAAAAACAATATATACTTACTGTGCTTTGAACTCTTCCAAAAATAATTTAATGAATGATCTTTAATAATTTTAGTGGCACACTGGTTGAAAATCACTGGTCTAGAGGCTTGTCAGAGCATATTTATTGCCTGGATATCTATATATTTATTGTTGCAAATGCCAGCCTAGCTCCTAATGTATACAGATTGGATTCAGTAATGAACTAAGGAACATGATTCTCCTCATGATCTCAAGATGAAGTTCTAACTGAATGATGACATCACCAGAATGCCTGATGGGAAAAAAGGTGCACGTGCTGACGGCTACGACTGTCACCAATGGTCAGCGTGCAACGTCTGCTGAGGGAGGTGGAGGGAAGAAGTGGTAGACAATGGGCAAAAAGCCAAAGACATCAAAGCAGAAGTGAACTTACCTTGGGTAGCAATATAATGATTGGGCCGATGGTAACCCTAAAAATAAACAAGAAAGAATTTTTGATGAACTTAAAATCAACAAGCAGCACAGAAATCACAAGCTACATTTGCCGATGCCATTTACAATGCCAGCAACTGTGCCATCCGAAAGTAAACCATGACACCGAGTACCACTGAGCTCCCCTTCATAGCAAAGGGGTGTCACACACAACAGCTCTCATGCCTGCATGGGAGGGTGGGCAGCCGACTCATATGCTGGCTACGAGATGATGGATGAGCAATAATCACTCATGACTTAGGGATCCTCTGAAATAACGTGACTGAGACTTGTGGAAAGTTCAAACGGGCTGGGAATGTGGAACAGATTTTCATATGTGTTTGGGACACTATGGGCGATGTGTTAAGGGTTTAAAACATATTCTGTTACAGCGGTATAGACAGTTCTATTGATAGTGATATGATACTCAAAACCATTCTTAAATACTGCTAAAACCATGATATGATACTACAGCAAGAGCCAGGAATTTAATGAGGTAGATATTGCACAAGACTCCTTCTTTTTATCATGACCCTATAAAAAACAAGATAAAAACCGATATCAAAGAAAGAAGGGAACAAAGAAGTTATAGGATAAGAATCTGGTCTGGGAGAAACAAACCCAACTCAGAGGAAATTATACCCAGGTAACACGCTCTATCACATGGACTGAACACGTCCCATTCCTGACCCCAGACTGTATAAAAGACTGTGCCCAAAGCCTACCATCTCCCACCACCACTGCTACTGCCAGGGCCAACCATGGCCATGTCTCTGACGCCACAGTTCCTGCCCACATGCAGATCATTCCCTTCTCCAGCCAGATTGTCTCACATCCTGCTCAAATCCCTCTAATGACTGTGAAAGCCCGCTGTGCACCTGACCTGCTGGTGCACGACTTCTCCCCTCATCACCTACAACTGCCTGGACCCCTTCCCTCCGTGCACACCACCAGTGCTCGCCCAGTGGCTTTTCTTCAAATTCACCTGGCAAGCTCCCCAGCAAGGAACGTATGTGGCTCGCTCCCTCATCTTTGCTCAGACGTCACCTTCTCAGTGGAACTGACTCTAGCCACTCTGTGCAAACGCGATCTCCACCTCAGACTTGGCCTTCCTATTACTTCCCCTTTAGAGCTTTGGTTTTCTCCACAGCACACATGACTTCCTAACATGCTACACAGTATTAACTTTTTTATTTATTGTCCATTTCTCCCAATTAGAACATCAGCTCCATGAGGTCAGAGGCTTCTGCTTGTGGTCTGAATTGGTCACAGTTATCATTCTTGTCCCTAGAGCAGTAACCGACACACAGTAGGTGCACAGTAACCTCTTACTACGTGAATAAAGGGGCCCTGAGTTTTGATGTTCCTCTCTGTTAAAATAAAATTTAAGTTCATTAATCTGGTATTTTCATTATGTTATAGCCTTGCTCATGTTACTTCCTTGAGCTAGAATGCTTTTATCTTCAGCATCTGTCTACCCACTGTTTAAAGCTCAAATGACGCCACTGCCTACTCTGGTCACAATTACTCCGTCAGTGGGTGACTCAGCAAACACTAAGTGCTCACTGCATTCAGGCCTGAGCCAGGTGCAGGGTGACAGAGATGAGGATGCTGCTGAACCGTGCTCGGAGACCCAGCAGAGACTGCAGAGGCTGGGACTAGAGTGTGAAGCAAGTCCCCTGGAGCCTCCCTGGGGAAGGGGTGGCACAGATGATTTGGAGGTAAGAGGGACTGGAGAAGACATTTCATACTTCAGCTGCTAAACTGGGGGGGCTACGGGGAGAGGACAGCAGGTCTGGGGCACTCCTGAGTACTCCCACGAGGTATTCGCTGGACACTGATGAATACAGCAGTGAGTGCAATGCACCTTATGAAGAAACCCGACTTAGAGTTACTAAAAAGCATCGAACCAGGAGTGCGTATTTTTTTGTATTTATCAAAATGGTGTAGGGAGTCTTTGTTTGATGTTGAGATATGAACTATCCTCTAAATAATCACCTTCAGTCTTCACCCACAAGTTTGTAACTAAAAATGTCAAACTTTTCTAATTAGCACTAAAAATAACCGTCTTATAGTTATTTTTAGATAACTCTCTAAAGTTATCTAAAGATGCTAGTCACCTTCAAGAGCATCTGAGAAATACTTAACCAAGAAAATCAAACACTCCCTGCATATGGATAAAAGCTGCCTATGGAAGTATTGCCAGACTAAGACAGAGCATGCCTTGCAAACCACAAGGGAGCAGAAATCTGTTTAATATAAACTTGGGCCTTGGAGGCAACAGCAACTTTCCCTTGATTTTTCAGTCTACTTTTGATTTCATTCATTCTTTCAACTGAAAACATCCTGTCTCCTAAAGAATTTATTCTAATGTAAAACATTAAGTTAACATGATGCAGAATGAACAAAGAAGCAGTCTTCAATAATTAAACAGCCTACATATTTAATGACTTGTCTTGCTTGCATTAGAAGTCCTGGTGAACAGTTGCAGACTACTTTGAAGGCAACTTAAAAGTGCAGTGATGACAAGGGATTGCAAATCACCGTATTAGGAATTAGAGAGTTTTGTCCCATTAATATGCAAACAGATTTTTTTCTAAGTGTCGAACAATATGAGCTATTGACAAAAACTGGAAATAACATTTTCTTAGTTCACATAAGCATGCAATGGCAAAGAAGACAGAGAACGTTCCACAGAGTCACCAACAAAGAGGTGAACTTGAGAAAAGGAGCACCCTCCTATCATCACCACGAAGTCCTACAGTGCAGGGACTGAGCCCAGTGTGTACCCACTGATCTTACAGCCCAAACAAGATCTGGTACGCCCGTAATCCAGCACTGTGGGAGGCTGAGGTGGTAGACTCTTGAGCTCAGGAGTTCAAGACCAGCCTGAGCAAGAATGAGATCATGTATCTAGAAAAAGAAAAAAAGAAAGAAAGAAAAACTATCCAGGCATATAGTGGTCGCCTGTAGTGCCAGCTGCTCAGGAGGCTGGAGCAAAAGGATCGCTGGAACCCCATAGTGTGAGGTTGCTGTGAGCTATGACACCATGGCACTATACCCAGGATGACAGAGCAAGACTCTGTTTCAATTAAAAAAAAAACAACTGGTATGTGTCAGAATGGGTGGGTTTATTGACAGTTTCATGCCTTAATTTGATCATTACAGATTAATGTGCTTTGTAAAATGTGTATTAAACTATCACATGTAGCTCTAAAGTATACAGAGTGATAAAGAAGAAAAAATACATACATCGATATAATTTCCATTGATATAGTCTGAGTTAACGTCCCCTTCTATTGTCTGCAGCCTCACCCGGGAATGATCATCTGCAAAGGAAAAAGAAAAAAAAGAAACAATCAACAAAAGCAATCTGTCAGGCTGCTCCCAGCCCCAGAATGCAGGCACATCACAGCAAGATCACCCACACACACTGCTTTAAAGATAAAGAATTAAGTACCACATACCTTCTCCTTCCTATTTTGCTATTAAGACTGGAAAGGATTTATAATTCTTTATATTTTACAGTAATCTCATTAACTTATTCTTTGATCACTGACAGACATAAAGTGTTGTCAAAGGTTTAAGACCTTTACATGCAGTGCTGTGAAGCACAGCAGAATTAGTTCTTGACTTGGAAGTTTGAGCAACTTCACTAAATCACATACAAATCCTGAGTGTTGAAGGTTGCCTATGACATCTACCTTGACAAATGATGGCTATAAACGTACAGCAGCGCCTTCTGGGACGTGTGGACGTGATCCTAACTTCTGCCATCATCTAAGATGTCGCTAAGCTTTCCGGCTGCATCCGAGGGTGTCAGTAGGCAAGACCAAGCTGTTACCATCAGCCATGTGACCCCGGGCTGGGTAGTGGTGCCACCAGGCCTCAGCCTTCTCATGGGGAGACAGGGATAACAGCACCTCTCTCAGAATCAGGCTGTTTCAAGGATAAACTGAAAACATAAATTGTCAGACACCAAGTACTATATAAAGGGGTCATATTTGTGGTAACAATTAGCTACACATATTTAAGTCACTTTCTGAATAAAAATTTTTCTCTATAAAAACTTCTGTCGTTTCCTTGAAAATGTATTTCTGAAAAAGGAAAGCACAAACCCTAGGGCAGGATCTTCCTGTTTTGATGATTGCTTTACCCCAGTCCCTAGACTTAGCACCTGGAGCATAGGGGGGTTCCCCCCACCCCCGCCTGTCCAAGTAGGTTTTGAATAGTGAAGTTTTTGTTTTGTTGAAAAAAATATATGTTAAAAAATTATTTTCCCAAACTAATGTTCCTTTTAGCAGAAGAACCTTCTTTCCAATGAAAAGCAGACCAGAACTCAACATTTAGGATAGAAGGTGGCTGTCCTTAAAAGGAGGCGGAGAAGAAACCTGATAAGGGATTTGACAAAGCCTCGTCTCCTATGTGTGGGAGCAGTGCGGGTCCTGCTCCTGAGCATTTCCTTTGGGATAGGGGGTGAGAAACGAATCCCACAGCCTGGACGAGAGCCAAGAGGGCAGCAGATGGCAGACCGTTTAGTCCCCAGTCACTCGGACCTATTCCTCGGATTGAAATGCTCATGGGTGGGAGTCAAAATTTCGTCCTGGTGCCTGAAGTGAGTTCACCCTCCTGTTTGGTAAATGTTCTGTTTGTTGCCAACAGTGCAGGCAGAGGAAACCTGTGTCGGTATCCTACCCTTCCTTCCTGGCGGGGCTTTTCACTCCATGACAAATAGTCACTTCATGTTGCTGGCTCACAATTAGTCAGGGCACAACAGATTTATCTGCAATGGGGTGACAGATAAAGACTGGGCCAGACAAGGAGAAAACCCTAGAGGAAACTGTGTCTTTCTGCTCTGCTCAAAAGAGAACACGGGCCGCCTGTAATCCCAGCACTGAGGGAGGCTAAGGCAGGTGGACTGTTTGAGCTCCTGAGCCAGAGTGAGACCCTGTCTCTAAAAATAGCTGGGTGTTGTCGTGGGCGCCTATAGTCCCAGCAACTTTGGAGGCTGAGGCAAGAGAATGGCTTGAGCCCAAGAGTCTGAGGTTGCTATGAGCTATGATGCCACTGCACTCTACCAAAGGCAACAATGTGAGACTCTGTCTCAAAAACAAAACAAAACAAAACAAAAACAGAAACAAAAACAATGACAACTTTCCTATTCCTGTTTCTGTGTAGTGCAGTATAGAGGTTAAGCTCTCAGATTCTGGAGCCAGAATCCCTGTTTGAATCCTGGTTCTGTCACTCTCCAGCTGTGTAACCTTGGACAAGTTACTTAATTTCTCCATGCCTCAGTTTCCTCAACTGTAAAATTAGAATAACAGTGCTTACATGATAGCAATATTTTGAGGATTAAGTGAGTTAATAAGTAAAAGTTACCCATCACTTATTTCATGACTTCCAAAGACTTAAATCAAGACCTGAAATTTTTCATTTGCACTATTTCATTTTTGACTTTAGATTCTTCTAGAGTCATGCTGAGGGCAAATGAATCCATGATGAGGGCTGCATTTTTACAACAGATTTTTTCCCCCATCACCCCTTGTTTAAATCATTCAATGGTATAAATAGGAAACTGACTGACAGTGGTCATACAAAGAAATCTGACACAGTCATCACAAGAGATTACTATGGCTTTAATTTACCTAGGAAGGATATCTGTGACACTTTACAGAGGAAAAAGAAGGCAGGTTATAAAGTAGCATGTCTAGTAAAAGCCCGTACACTGAAATGATCTAATGCACTTGTGTGTGTGGTAACTGGAAGAATGCAGTTTCTGCTGGGGATAAAATCTGGAGTAAGGTTTATTTTTATCTTTAAGATTTTAAGTACTACTCTGACTGTCTACATGGTTTACATTCTCTTTGCAGTCAGAAAGAAAACAAATCTATTTTTGTTAAAAAATATAAAGCCAACAACAACAAAAAAAAACAATGAAAAATGAACCCAATAGCTCCATGGCATAGGTAAAAGACTGGAATGAAACAGAAAAAGAAATGTTGGCAGGGTTAGGTGCGGAGGTTCTGAGCAATGTTCTCCAACTTTTCTTTACTGTACACATTTTCTTTAATGTGTATGAATTGCTGTTATAATTGGAGAAAACCTATTTGCCATGCATGACTGGAAGATGATCAAAATAAAACTAATGTTTATATCATAATCACAACCCCGTGTCACCCTGCTGCAGAATGTAACTAACTCTGCCACTTTGAGAAACTCCATCTGCCTAAAGGACTGCTTGTTATTCCTCTCGCATCTTTCCACAAGCCCTTTATTAGATGAATGCGTAAACTTGAAATTTTTGGCTAAGAAACAGGCACATAAAGACCTGGTCATAACAAACCACTGCTCTAATCTTCTGATGCTCTTCCTGAATGAGTAGGCACCCATCGGAGGTGGGCTGACCTGGGATCTAAGGCAGGTCTACCCTAAGTTCCTAAAGTATGGCACCTATGCCCTTTCCATCATGTAACATTATGTTTAAAAATACCTCAAAGTGCTTCACATATTTTAACACTTCCCTATTAAACATAACAGACATTGGTAACAGCTTTGGAATTTTAATGTGTGTGTGATCAGATATTCCCACAGTGGCAAAATTCGAGTATGTCATTGATAATCTTTGGCCTGTAACCAATTCTTTCTCTGTGCTAAATATTGATGACATATTTAAAGTAAATTGGAACACAATGATCTAAGTAACATTTGGCCTCGGAGAGAAGACTCAAAATTAATTTTGATTACAACTGATTTCTGGAAGTAATGGCTTTGCTCCCCCTGTGGTTATACTCTTGTCAACGGTTGCTGCTGTGCTTGTACAAGCTGCAGGAGACACTCGTGACCGTGACCATCAGCTGGCAAGAGCCAGGTGCCCGACCCTTCAAGGAGACCCTTTCTTCAGACCCGTGTCCCTCCCTCTACCCGGGGTCCCCAGCTGCACCTCTCAGGTTCTGAGCAAGCAGCAGCCCAGCAGGCCTCAAGCGTGATGAGGTGGCTGCGGGACTCTGCTCTTCCCGGTGGCTTTTTGTGTGTGTCATGTCTTGTTTCTGGCTCTGTCTTCCCCTGGTCCCTGTGTCAGAGACTCTTCCTGGTTATGTATCAGAATCTTGGCAGGGATCCCTGACTGTTACTTTGTCTGATTTTTCTAGATGTTGGCCCTATGCTTTCCTGAACACAGAGTGTCACCTTGCTTCTCCCATCCTCTTGTCCACCTGGACATAAGGCCCAAGTCTCTCCCTGCCAGTTCTCGCTGAGCTATCAACTTTTGTCCCCTCCTTCCCAACTGTCTTGGCTTTTCCAGCTAAGTGGATCAGGACATTTTTAGATTTTTCAAAAGTAAATACATGATGACAATGCTGGAGTCCCTCAGCAGAGAGAAGCACGTTGCTGCAGAACAGCATCCTGGGGAAGGGAAGCCTTCAACACGGGCCGACAGGTTGGGCTGCTGGTTAAAAGAAGCCGGTGCTGGAGCAGGCCCAAAGTCGCAGTTACCTGGTAGCTACCTCTCAGTTAGGAAAAGCAGTAGATCAGCACAGGTGGCCCATACCTTTCCCCTTCGTGGCTGCGGTCCACACCTGCTGTCATGTCCTTACCACTACGTCAGTCTCAGTACTGGACCCGCCAACAGGACACTCCTGACTCCCCCTACCCTATCACACAGTGCTCCTTTGTACCAGCCAAGTAGTTTCATCTCAGTATTGTCCTTTAAAAGCTGCTATCTCCTTATGCCAGTGGCTTTAACCACCACTGATATGCTCCACAAGTCAGTAATTTACGTGTGGGCCAGACCCTCTCTGTTGGGCTCCAGAGTAATCCATAGAGCTGTCTACTTGTCATCTCATTTGAATGTTTCAGAAGCATCTCAGTATGTCCCCAAATTAAACTTCTAGGTTTTCCATGCTCCTGCTAACCTCATGCCCACCCCTGAGTGCTTCTCTACATCTGGGTTCTCCCCAAGTCTTTCCCATCTGGGTAAATGGCCCATCCTTGCATCTCTAGTTGTCCAGCTGTCCGTCATCCATCAGCATGTCTGTCTGCCCATCCTCCTGCAACTCATAAATGCAGGCATCCTCTCTGGCTCCCCTGTTCTCCTCATCCCACATCCTACCCCACAGTCTCTTAAATTAAACTTCTTTCTACCCCACATTAGCTTTGTTTCTCATGTGGGCCACTGAGAATCTCTTAACTAGCATCTCCTTCCAATCCATTTTCTACTCAGCAGTAAGATCAAAATTTTCCAGTATATATTGATTATCCACTCCCATGAAAAAACTCTCCTTTAGTGAGCTTTCCTTTGTTACAGTAACAAAGACTAAAGTCCTTAATCTGC